TTGCCTTTGTCGGTAATTTCTCTGCCTTGACTGTACAGGTAACTCACTGTCTGTCGGCGGGGCTCGAGTGTAGTCCCAACGAACAAGAGGGTCTGTATGTATTCTGAAGCGCCCCCTGAGAGCTCAACTATTACTGCACCCTGTATATTTCCATAATGACCCAAATTTCACTACATTACTACGAACTTATTTTCGTTTAGTACACTTGGAACCCTGATTTCATAGTCATTTTAGTCAATATATAAGGAGGTATTGTACGCTTGTCATGAAGAAGACAAATGTTATCCAAAATTTAATGCTTTTTCCATGCACTACACTGCATAATGTACGTTCAAACCTACAAATATCTACTATTCCTACAAGCACCAACTTTATGTGAGTAATACTCCACGTTATTTCGCACTTATCTTCCCCAGATAATACTTTGATTAAAATTGGTGACGGCATGGTTTGGCGTTTGATTGTTCTCAAAATATTGTCTTACTTAATTTATAAATATTTCAAGGCCAGTTACTGTTTTATAAAAAAAACGCGTGTTGTTTGTGCTTCACAGATATCGCTGGAAATCGACGAAACGACAGCTCTGTCACAGCGGCTTCACTTCGACGGAATTCACGCAGGCCTTCTTCATATTCAAGAAATCGACCTGGGCGGGCCGAGTATTTGGAGGAATTCACAGGACAAATCGGATGTATTTTGCTTGTCGCATCCCTGCATCCGCCAACAGTATCCGACAAGCTTAAAAGGCCAATTTCTATTGGTAAGCTTTTTAATCCTGTGAAATCACATGGACATTACTATTTTTAATCAAGTGGGCTAACATCGTATACAGTTATGCTTCTTCCTGGACACTGGAATAGCAAAACATTTGGCCCTTTTTCTAAAAGCGGTGTTTTTAACCATGTTCCAAAAACAGACCAATAAAAGTATTGCCAGTAACCCAGTATGCACTGATATTTTTTAGTCGACCAGCAGTTGCTCAGTTTACTAATAAATTACTGTTGGACGTTTTTTCAAGCGAACATCAACGCAGCATTAGTAAATATGCATCAAACAGCACACAGCGCATGAAACCAAGCTATTTTCCAAACGACTCATTTCTAAAAGGTGGAGTTTTAGCACACCTATTATTACTATTGCATTTAAGGGAAATGTATGATGTTTTTAAAGGCTTATTTAAAATCGAAAAGTAAACATATTTTCCCTTAGCACGTGAGCTCAATTTAGCTTAGACAAAGGCCTACATAATTTGGCGCCATTTTTTGCAATACGGGAGGTCCTTTTACTGAGTCTTTAGTATGTTTTCGTTTTTTTTTCGTTTTTTAAACCACTAATGTATTTTTGCAATGCTAGAACGAAAAATCTGCCTGATGATTATGCAGAAAGGTAATGTATGACGTTTTCCTATAAATCGTTTGTTGAAAAATGCGTTGTATTTAAGTAACTGACGCGTTGATTTTTAGCATAGTTAACAAAAAAGCAGCATCTTCCTCGTCTGATACTGCTATCAACTACGTTGGATCATTGGCTATTATAGACTCGGTATAGACGGCATTTAGGCGTTGCTATATTAATCATAGCGATTTTCATGTTAATATCTGTAGCTGTCGTGGAAAAACATATGTCACCTGTATAGATTAGACCGACAGACAGACACAATTTCAACCATTATCAGGGCAGCTCACCGACAAAAACCAGCCGTTGCGCAAAACTGACAAGGAAAATTAGCACACAACGGATAATACATGGTGTCAACGCATTCTGAATAACTACTAATAATATTTGTGTTATTTCAAAAATGCAAAATTACTTGTAGGTATCATTTTGTAGTTTTATCACTGTATTCTGTGTATATTTAGCGGTCGCTGAAGTGAAAGCAGCCATTGAACAAGACTGCGCCCAAAATACCAAGAAGATTTTTTCATGGTGTGTGCGATTCAACAGTTCCACGTTTTCAGCATTGTCTGGATCATAATGGACTTCAGTTTGAGAATGTGCAGTGAAAATAAAACAATAAAATAATATGTTTAATATTTTCAAAGATTTGAGAAAATTAAATTCTGACAAACACTACGTCTACAATTTTTTTAAATGCGCATACATTTTTGGGACATCCTTTATTTACAACGAACCGTTATAGACCTTGGCAAGGTTAGAATTTGCTGCACTGGGAATAATTAATGCGATAGGTACTGTCAAAATGTGAAAATTGAAGAACTTCGAGATGTCAGCGCAGGCTTTAATTATTCACGTCTTAAGATTTCGTATAGTTCGCGTTTCTGGAGCCGTATGCAGGATGTTTCTGTAAAGCGAGACGTCAAATTCGCTCCTGTCGTATTTAGTACAGTAGTCGCCGGTTATTAAGCCCACCTTGGGCCCAGACCAAATTGGGCTTAATAAGCGGCGGGCGCACTAACCGGAGTGTCCTAGTTCTTGATTAACAAACGCAGGATGGGTACCATGCATTACATACGTACCGTATTATGTGTAGAGCTTGCTTATGCATAAGAACTGAATGCTGTTTGTCTGTATTTTACTTAATAACAGAAACAAAAAAATATTTGCGACACGTTTAATAAAAGCGGTCTCGTGTCAGTTGTTTTGAAAGCTTCTTGTTTTGCTTAAGACTGGCCAAAATTATGTAACCAGTTGCGCACGCAGAGAAGTGAGAATCTCACCTGGGCTATGTAGCCGGCGACTGGGCTTATTAGCCGGCGGATTTTGCTATGTTCAATTCCGTCCAAAGCTGATTTTGCCTTAAAGCGCGGCTGGGCCTATTAACAGTGGCTTAATACGCGGCTGGGCCTATTAACCGTGAGAACGTTATTTAGAGGCTCCATCTAGAAATATTTTGAGGACGGACGACGTTAGGAATTTCTTCTTAATACTCAGACTGGTGCTTTACTACTGGGGAGGGGGGAGATTCAACAATGAAATGTTGTTAGTAGGTTTCCACTGTAAAAAGTATTAGCGAAAAAACGACAGCCGTCTACAAATATTTGAAAAAATTATATAGAGGTCTTTGAAAATTCTTCTTTGCTTCAGTTCACCCGGGAGGAAAACAGTCCAACTTTCAGCAAGCCATTCTGAAAAATTTCTCCTTATCCTAAATTTTACCGATTGTCCGGTTGCATCCTTTGTGATTACCAGGCAACTGACATTTGTTCAGACCGTGGCAGTTACACCGTTAAATTTTTTCGCTACCGATTGCACGCACAAGTTGTTTCATAACACTTTTCTTACATTGAATTCTATTAGTAATTTGCCGCTTTTTGTGTTCTTCTTCTTTCACCTTAAGGCTGAATTCCAAGTTGACGACGTAAAACTGGACATCCTGCAGTTTGCGGCGAGCTCAAAATACGGCTTCCTGTACACCGCCTCCGACGTGGCCAGCCCCTCGGGTGTTCCCTGTGCCAGCAACATGCTAGGGTCGCCTCCACAGCCCTCTATTTCCTTTGACAACAGCGACAGCGGTGACAGCGCCAGTGACGCTTATTTGCATCTACGAATGCCGCACGTTGAGAAGCCGGCTGACGCGAGCACGGCCACCCATATGATTCACCTGGATATCTCGATTCCCTCACCGCCAACTGTGGATGGAAACCAGTTTCTCCTGTTGATATATTCCAGCCTGCCTCGAACGGTTTATACCTCTGCTGTGAGCGAGGCGTTGGACATTCCACGCAAAGAGATACCGCTGATGATTTTGGAACTACGTGCGGGCAGGCCATGGCTGTGTGTTGTAAACGGCCCGAAAACTGTGAATGCTACCACTGTTGGACTGCCGCTTCAACCTTTGGACCTAAACATGCGCAGAGACAGACTACGAAACATCCTCCTAGAAATTCGGATGAGTGCGATTTATGCGATAAATGGATCTCTTGGCTTGTTAATTACGACTAGACAATTTACGAGGAATTTGTCCTCCTCTGCTGGTATCAGTGTTGTGTCTTTTGGCGAAAGCGAACCGTTCAGAGCTGTGCCCTCGGACTGGGTTGAGAAGGTGCTGAGGCGAGGTTCTACGGCCGATGCCCAAGCTGTGCCGGGGACGGAGCGATTTGTGTTTGGCAGGAACATACTTTTGGGAGGCAGCAACTGGACAGCTGAGGACCGAATAGGACGTTTACCACCGACAGTTTGGAGTGCGCTCGGCGCTCGACGTTCATTTCGCGGCTGTATTAACAGGTAAGGTGCTATTCTTTTGCGTTGAAGCTAAATGCTAACGAGCACAGTCCTGAAAGGGGTACTTAGTGGGTGATAGGTTATAACGATACTTGGCCTATTTCTGTCGTGCTTCTGGCGAAGGAATGTGTGAGAATTTTACTCGAGGTCGGGTAGCTTCCGATTTAGCTAAAATTAATGCTTATTACAGGCAAGAAACTGAACAAAAAGGCAATTTTCTTTACTAGAAGGCTTTTTCGCTATTGAATTCAGTCATTGGATTAACATGACTTGACCAAATACATGTTTAACTGCCGAGTTAACTCTCAGAATTACTTTTGCATGGATGCTTACACATACTGTACTGACGAACACAGTGCTGGCCCCTTAGTTCCGCATAAAATGAAGTACAGAGTGTGGGGTGGTTAATAACAGCAGTTGAAATATTTGTGGACTATTTCTAGGGAAAGAACGCAACGGACGACAGTGATCATTTCTTTGTCATAGAGGTGTTGTTAGCCGTGCAAATATCTAGTCGCCAAAGTAAGTTTCTTAATAGACGGGCCGACTGTGACAATAGAGCTTTATCCCTACTGACTCAGAGCCGGGCATATGGGCCGTTTTTCATTGAGGCAATCACACTAGTGGATTAGTCTGACAGTTAGGGAGTCGTAATCTACCCTAGTTCTCTCCGTTTTTTGCGTAGATTTTAACAATGCAAATTTGCTGAAATTTTATATCCGTTTGGTCAATTGACTGGTGGTGGTCGCCACGTCGCATTTTTATCCACGACGTTGCCTAATGTTATTTTTTTTCAGGCAACCTATCGAGAGAAAAGTTCATGGTCCATGGATATTAGACAGTACGTCGTATACTCAGACATTAATCAGCGAAAACATGTAATAATTCCTATTTTCCATCGCGCACGTCCTGGGAGAAGAGATACGCAATGGTTTTTACGTTCGTGCCGCAATTGCGACAACTTTTCTTTTTAAGTTAATATACGCTGCTGGTAATGTTTTGTGCAGACTTTCTCTGCTATATCTAAACTTTGTTAAGATTTGCCTTTTTAAAAGCTATATTGCGCTTTCCAAGTCAATGTTTTGCAAGGTCTAGTTGGTTACCGACTATTATATTTCTATGGGCTCAGAATCGCGAGGCATCTGGCTCAAGACTGATCAATGTCTTAATGTTGTACAAATTGTCTTATTTTTTGAAATGTGGGCATCCCAAGCAATATAATTTGAGGTTGAATACGTTCTTCGAGAAATATAATTTTATTTCGTGAATTTTCGAGAGTGGAACCCCAGTTCTTCATCAGACGCAGAGAAAGGTAAAAGTATCAAAACAGCTAGTTTCGCGGATGCGCAGACAAGGAGATGAACAGTCAGTTATGTGGGCACGGGGGAGGGTGAGTTTACAGCATGCAGTTGTGGTTGATGGTAATGAGGTCAGGTCAGGTCAAGGGTCTCATCTGCGACTCAATGTGCCGGTAGGCTGCTACGGTGTCTCCCTCTGTTCTGATAAGGTCGCGTCTCGCCCATTTTTGTTTGAGCTTTTTGTACGAACAATCCAACTCGGCATGCCTGTTGAGGCATGATGTGTCCGAGTGCATCGCTTCGAGGAATTCGCGTCCCTTCTTGGGAGGACACGTAGCGGCAACACGAGTTTTGTCCCACGCGAACGTATGCCCGGTGTCTAGGCTATACATGGTGACTTGGGATTGGCGGTCTAATCTTTTTACCGCCAATAGGTGTTCATGAATGCGCAAAGAGGCGGGCTCTTATTCTATACACTGCTGTCGCTTCTGATTTTGGATCTGTCAATTAAACAACTTTCTTGTCCATGGAATCACATCAGGATTGTCTTGATGTGTACATGACTCGCATTTTCAGTAAGCAGAACGTTACGAAGGTTACTAGGGTGATTTCCTTCCATCCTGTTTGTAAGAATGTGCTTCAGTTTAGGCAAAGACATACTTAAACGAAAAGCAAAACCGGCCGCTTTAGTAAAGTGAATTGGCAATAGCTGTACATGCTTTATTCCAAATATTTTATAAGCCGTTATGCACAATTGTTTGTTTCATCTGGCTATTTGCCAGAAGAACTGTAAAAAGTAATGCCATCGACTCTGAGTAAATCACACTATGTCTGTTTAGACAGCGAGAATCAGAGAAAACTCTGTGTCGTGAATTTTAGTTTGGTCTTACATTTTTTTTCGAAATAGCATGTAAGCAAATCTAGTGATAGAAGAAACGGAGAGCTTTCCCTAGTTTATCGAAGTGGCAATGCTTTCCGCATCCACATCGGGTCCTTGCGCGGCTGCCAGCGGGACTCGAGCATGAGCAAAAAGGCAGAGCAGCAAGAGTAAGCTTCGCTAACGCTCGATGAACTTTCTTCAACGAACCACTTTCTTACTTTTTTGGCGCTCCATATTATCCTTATTTTCTACCGACGATAAAAGTAAAATGTAAAGTAGATTTTCCTAAAGTCTGAAAAAACTGAAAAAATATCCGTTGAAAAATATATTTGAAATCAGTTTGAGGTGACTAAACATTCATTAGCTGAAGCATTGTTTCGGATTTCCCTAGGTCGAATGTTTGGTGGTAAATAATAATTGAAGGACGTAAGCGGTACATAATGTATAACTTATTACTTATTACTGCCCGGTATATAAACACTGTAATGTGTGCGGTTTTTTGTGAGAAAGCTTTGCTATATGTCTATAATAATTATTCTGTATTGCTTAACAAGACAATAACAATTGATATTAACACACCTATTTTTACTTTATAATCTGCGCTGCTAGAGTCTACCGGTCATGCTTTCTAAGTCTAAATATAAAACACTGTACATATTTTCCGCTAAGAACCTAGTTATTAATGCTAAGAATGGTCAAGAGCTTTGACATTCAAAATCGATGATTAAGTCCGTCCTCCTTTGAAATATTGCTAAAAACGGAATTTCCAAAATTAATTGCAGCAATGCTAAATTACGGTAAAATTATCACTTCCGGCTTTACCACTGAAAAAGCTTAACCGTAAATAACATAGACATCCATTTTTTTGAAATCAAGTCATTTGCTTTTCATTCATTTTGTTCCGAATGCTTTGTTAGACAATTATTTACCCATTAGTTGCCGCCCGTAATTTGGACTGTCCAAATTCAAACGAACATGCCGCTCATAAATATTTTCTTCCACGGATATCAAATAACATTTTAAAGCCTTTTTTTCGAATTCTTAGACACCAGGGATAAGTAATACCACCTTTAAAGTAAAGAAGAATCGCTTTATTATATCTGGCATTATACCCCGATCAGAATATGATTCCGTTTATACAAACTTGGATAGAGCGAATAGTCCGTTCCGATCGTAGGCAGTCAAAAGCTATCTACTGATCATTAAACCAGCGACTTCAAAAGCAGAAACACCAAGAGCGTACTTGATTGCGCTTTAAAATTATCGGTTTGTTTGCTGAAAAAAAAATAATTAATAACTACTTGAATCAGGCATTCCACGGCAAAGGTTAATGGGTAACGCGCAGTCGCATATGTAATACAATTGAGTAAAGATGGCCTTTTATGTTGACTATGTTTTCATAAGCGTTCGATTTTTTTTGCTGTTATAGCAAGTTGCTCACAAACAAATGGCGGCTTTCAACCTAGAAGCAGAATGACCTTTATCGCAAAAGGATATATTGGGAAATTGGAAAAAAGACCAAACCCATGAAAATTTCCGAGGACAGATTTATAGTAAATCAAAAGATTGTTATACCATGAAAGATAACCCAGCGTTTATAAGTAGTGTCCAGCAGACTCTCGGCATTAGTTTAGATAAACTGCTTGGCGGTTAAAGGCCCGGATTTTATCGCTCCTTAATTATTAACGTTCGATGTTTTCAGAGGTGTTCGGCCCTAGGCGGGTAGATTAGAGGACCTTTTTTACTTGTTTACGTTCTTCCACTTTAAATAAGCCGACTCTACGATCTGTGTGTTGATATATTCAACGAAGACGTTGAGAGTAACATACTTTGTCGCTAGTTTACATTCGGCTATTTATACTGCATTCGAATTTAATCTTAGAACACCTTTTTAAATATAATTAACACTTCAATTAATAAATCGGAGGGCACTGTGTTGCTTAATGTACACGGATAGTTAGATTTGAAAGTTAAAGCTTTCCTTGAAGCAAGTTCTTCATTCGCGCTTAAACGAACACTTTACGTTTAATCTAATGTATTTTCTGACTATTTAGCAAGGAGTTTCTTTCTTGAACTCCATCTGTCACCATCGGAAATAATATTCGTCGCATTTAGCTGGGTCGGATGGTTAAACGCAGTCAAAAAGTTTCCTTTGAGATAACAAGGGAAAACCTGCCAGGGTATTAGCTTTTTTAGTTAAATTGTTTGAATTCCTTAACTAATTCGACGAAGACATTGTAAGTAACCTACCTTGTTGTAATTTTACACTCGGCAATTCGTACTGGATTTGAATTTAATCTTTAAACCCTTTTTAAATTTAATCAAAACTTCATTTAAGGAATCGGAGGGTACTGTGTTGCTTTATTTTAATGGATAGTTAGATTTTAAAGTTAAAACTTTACCTCTATGAGATGGTTGGGCCGCGTTTAAATCAACAGGTTACGTTTAATTTGATGTATTTTACGACTATTTAGCAAGGATTTTCCTTCAGGCATCGACATTTAACTCCATCCGTCGGAAATAATAGCCGTTGCATTGTCTTTCTTTTCACGATTAAACTGGGTCGGATGGTTAAAAGCAGTCAATACATTTTCCTTTAAGTTAACACGGGAAAATTTGCCAACGTATTCGCTTTTCCTTTTAGTTAAATTGTACGAATTTCTGAACAGATGGCTGTCCGTGCTGACGCCAAATATTGCCATCCGGGCAAACTGGAATATCCGCATTGGGAGAAGGATAATAACGTTACCTTTATTATCCTTATTGCTGTCTCCAGTTGGTGCGAACTGCTTTAAATTGTATAATACCGGCTTTTCGCCTTAAGTTGCA